CCCAGTTCCATTTCATGGGTATGCGCTCAAATAACATACATACAAAACAAAGCTTATTATATCTCTACGTATTGCTTGTTATATAACAACAATAATAATAATTATGGTCATTAGGTATATGATAGTCATGAACATGAACATAATGAACATAGTGAAGCTCAAGGTCTTCAAATGGCCACGTTTTTCTACAATAGGTACTAAAGGTTGTCACAGAATAGTTCACAATATGACTACAAATTGATGATCTGCCTGATTTGTTTTTTTTTAAATTTAATCCTGTTCTCTTCTTGATGTGTACGTCAAATAGTTTTAGATATAAAAATCACGATACAGGAGAAAAGTCTGGTTTAAAACACCTCACATAAAAAAAAATCATTCTATGTAGGTATATGTATGTAATACCCAAATACTGAAAGGTTACTCAATTTTAAGTTGTGCTTATATTAGTTATATTATATTTTACAAAGAATTTGTAGTGACAGAACTACACCTAAGCGCGACTTAAAATTGAGTACCTACCGTTTCAGTATTTGGTTATAAGTCAGCCAAAATTAGTATTTCTTAATTGGGTAGTTTCCAGGGTATCAAAATTAAAAATCTAATTAGTCCGTCGGTTATCTCATATTAAGTTATACTTTCGCAATACTTTGATAAAAAGGCGCTAAGTTTAGGAGCGGGAGGTCATTACGTCATAATGTGCTACAAAATGTGACACGCTGTGACGTCACACGATAATTCAAATTAATATATCGTCGAAAGTATTGAATTTTGTGAGAAAAGAAAAAATACGTGTAAATTAATGTACCAGACGGACATTAAAATAATATTTAGGAAACTACCCTATTCTGTACTACAGAATTCTGTACTACAGAATCTGTAGCCAAGATGGTATCTGGTATGCAAAATAAATATTGAGAGACATTCACGAGTAAAGTTCGAGATGTGAAATACAGAAAGTTTACAAAAGTTCAACAAATAAAACTGCGAATATCAGTCATCATTATCATTTAATGAATCTGTTATTTACAAAAGATTTCGGTGGACTTTGTCAACAATAAGCTTCTTTGCATCATGTACCTTTAGCGCAAGCCAGCGTGCGCTAGGCTCCATTGAATTAACATCGTTTTTATTTAGGTAATTAACATTTTAACTGAATGTAGTTCATTGACTCTCGACTTACAATTTTTAGTAGAGCAATGCTTAGATTTAAATACCTAACCTTTTCGTTTACAGTAATATAAGAAACCAAAATATATTATACACACATTTGATTCTGTGTAAATATAAGAATTGATAAAACAACTTTTAGTAGGATAGACCTGTCAGAAGAGAATGGAGAAGACAGTGTACCAACCCAATTTACTTGGGAGCAGGGCAAGAAGAAGATAAGTATTCTTTGAAGCTCCATATTGGCAAATATGTATAATATGGAGTATAGCCATTAGCCATGATAGCTAAAAACACAGGTTTGTGACTTAAATCTGTTCTCTTTGTACAAATTGAGCTGATGATGAGAACGGTAATAAATAAATAATACAAGATAAAAGAAAAAAAAGAGCAATTGTGACTCCAAAAATATGAAGTTACTGTCACCATGTTAGTTTTATATTACACGATAATAAACAATACCTAAGGCAAAAGTTCTACTTAAAAACACGTTATAATACTACACACAGTTAAAATGCTAACTACAAAATACATCGACTGAGCTGTTTACACACACGAGTCAAAATAAAACTATTATACCGATTTCATCATTTAATTATTCATAATTTAATGCATGCGCTCATCAAAACATATCTAACAAATACATAATCACATGTTAAACTAATAGGTAAACAGCTCAATAACACGTCACGTGAATAAACAATACTTTGAGCCAATACTGAATAAAAATGTTATTAAACAATATAAAGACATTCACTTAGAATGATATCATATGTATAATGTGCTTCTCCGTTCAAGTTAATACATAAAAATCGCCTCTAAAAATAATCATGAGATATTACAAATTCATGATTGTATTCACGGTCGTAGAAATTAGACCAAAATATGTAATCAACAGAGTTGGTTTTGCTTTGTCACATTACGACCAACTATAAACTCTTCGGTTACATCGATACTCCGGTTATCTCCATTCGACACCTAAATAATTTTTAATCTTAAAAACATAATAACACTTTTGGTTTTTACATAAAGCTATATAACAACAGTAACATTAATTCATATTTTTTCTGAATATTTCTTAATACGTTCTATACACTTTGTAACGTCATATCAGATTACATTATCTTATAAAAGAAACTTCATTAAAATTATCATTTACTTATAGGCATACAATACAGGTTGTTAAAAAAAGAAATATAATATTCTCAATATTTTTTCACTTTTATCACATAATACCATCTCCTAACATCTAATTCCTTTCACGTTCCTAATGATAGAGTACACCTAACGCTTAAAGCTAAATTATGCAGTTTATTGACAGAAAAAATATCTATGACAAAAATATATATCCTATAGTTCAGATATATACATACTAATGTGGCAAGTACATAAGCCTATGACGACACCTAACAGTCGAGTGTTTGGTATTGAGTTAGATGCTCGTACAAATTGACTGCGTTACATTCCCTCACTTCTATGTAAACTCACTTAATATTAGCAGATTTACACAAGTACTTGTTCGACACAATGGCACTACAGGAGTTCTATACAATGTCAAAGATTTAGTGGGAGAGGTCTCTATGCGCATTGTACTTTCAAAAATAACTGTACGCAAATGACGCTTAAGATCTGCTTCATACATTTCTCTCGTCGTTGAGTCGTATAGAAAAAAGCCAAGCTCGAAAAGTTAACATATTCTAGCAAGTTTAAAGGCAAAATGCTACATTAACACGATGTACACACACTATAAAATATGTTAATAGGGTTTAATCGTATAAATTGATAGTCCCTTGCCTCATTTCAAAATTCATACCAAGAAGGAGACATATTGAAAACCGGCGATACCTAACTGTAAAATAAGACCATATTCATATTATAAGGGTTGATTTTGTCTATACAATACACGAACTATAAGGTCCAGGACTACTCATAGCTACTCTATAAATGTTTGGAGTAACTATAGTACATTTTCGTGTACATGGATGATCCCTTAAAATGTGAACACTTCTATTATACATCCTACTACTGTCAGTACATTCATCAACCGTCGACGAAAGAGTCCTAACATTAAGCCACTTCATAACCAACGGGACATAAAATTTGTTTCACTAAGTACCCGACGCCTAACCGCAACTTATATTTACATCTGTGCATCTATTTACATTGTTATATTTGTATAAATCGATTTAAAACTTTTGTCAATGGAAACATGAATAAATTTAAATTTAGACCTCTTTATATAATCTTATTGTCAGTTTCGAAACAAATCAATCCAGTATGATATGATTGTATAGAAGGTGAGAATAGTGCCTACATATCTATGTATCTTTCTATATCTTCTAAGTACTTAATAGCCTATAAGTACTAACATTATTGCTAATGACAATTATGGACATTTTTAGTTTCTGATCACAAAAACTGCAGTTTGAGTATTAGTTACACATGAATGTTTAAACATCGCTTGTTGACGTAGCACCACGACACATATATGGCACGTTGGAATACAGAACCTCAGATATCCCTTCTATTTCCGAAATGCAAAGCGAATATACATAGACGCTTTATTGCTTGCAGTCAATTCCAGTTATTATTTATGTCATTAACTTATGGTAACTTCATATAAATCTTCGCATTTATGTTTCATAATATTTACTTTAACAAAATGAGTTATTTTCTAATATTAACTTAATATTTAATAGCACTGTACATTACTGTTAGAAAATAATTCATTTCGTTGGCTCCATTCTGTGTCGTACATATATATACGACCAAATAATAAATACCTAATGGATTTCAAGAAACCTTATCACAGCATCTCCAATGTAGTGAGATCGTATTATTTTAGTAATTGGAGAATAAAAAGGGTTCGTGAAATCTAATTGTATATCAAATCACCTATATTTTCGTTATACGCCCAATATTTGGAGGTAGAATACCGTCGGCTAATCGGCATTAACGTAGCATCAATTTGGCGATATCAAATCGACCTACAAATCGATAATTTCGAATATTTTAATCAGTACACAAGCGTACTGGTCGATAGGAAGACAAAGTATAATTTCATGAAAAGTAAAGTAAGTACTACGTTTCAAAATTTAAAATACATCAGAGATTGTTGACGTAAAAATGAAAAATAATGGTTTTTTCTCACCCAATCAGCCGACTACTCTTCATAACAGTTCATCTCATAAGATTATTTAGTTTCCTGATCTACTGGTCATAGTAGACTTCATAACCACCGTTGTAGATGTCAATTTTGAATACCCTCTGATAAATGCTAAAACGTTATTCAGGTAACCGTTATTTATTAACTCGATAACTTTCTTTAGCATCAACTACTCAACACGAATAAAATATTGCACTATTTTCAAAAGTAAGATTAATACAAAAATGCAGGTTTACTATCTAAATTTCATTTTTATGACTCATAAATCAGACACGCCAAACGATTATCACAACAGAGTGTATCAGTAATATTTAGTACTCTATTAATATTTGCTAATAGGACACTTATAGAAACAGTCTTTGAATAATAGTGCTATATTTTTCCACTAGCCAAGCGTGGGGAGTATTACAATCCCCCCCCCCCCCTTTTAAAGGGAGTTCGTTCAGTACTGGACTTCCGTGATGATCAGAGGGTAAGGTCAAACATTACAAAATCGAATCAAACGGTGAAATTGTGTGTTCTAAAAATTAATACTCGATCTCAATCGAAAACCTCTAGATCGATTTTGACAAAAACTTTATATACGAGTGATATCAAAAATTGATCTTAATAAACAGATTTTAGAATGAGATTGGTTATTAATTTCGGCTATGAGTGGTTTAAAGGTTTAGAGTACACTTTCTCTTTGGGGGGTTGGTTGGTCGGGGGATGGGGGATCGGAGGGGGATGCCGCAGTGCGGACTATGGCGGGGGGACGTTGTGCTAGCGCGGCACCCATCGTGATGGGAGTGTCATCCTCGTCCTCCTCCTCACCTTCTTCCAAATCCTCGTCAATGGGGGTCAACACGTCCATGGGTTGTTGGACTTCTTCTTGTTTTCTGGAATATTAAAAGTATTATTGTTATGGGTTTTTTTTGGATGTTTCTGTGAATTTTCTTCTTACTTCAAGCTTCAAGTAATATTCTATTTTTTGAAAGAAAACCTTTTAAATTTTTGTACGCAGAGACAGTCAAACACCAAATAACTTCTAGTATATTTTTTCACTGCATTTTCAAGCATGATTGTAGATTGAAATATTTATAGTATACTATACTTGTTTAGGTTTCCGTTACTCTTAAACCTTAAGTTGCAACTTTATTACACACACAATTAAATAAATAATTATTTCTTTTATTTTCAGTTAGTATCTTTAAAATAAAATCTTACCTGCGGAACAAAGGCGCAGCGAAAGATGTGAGTGTACTAGCTAAAAAGAATGCGGCAGCCATGTAGAAGGATGCATCATAATTCTTAGTAGCGTCGTACACAGCGCCGGCCAAGGGGGAACCTATCATGGCGGCCGCGCCACGGAACAGGATCAGAAGACCGAAGGCATTCGTTAACTTGTCCAGACCCAGTAAGTCTACTAGAATGATCGATGTCAGGGAGATGTACCCAGCTGGAAAAAAAAGATGTAATTGGTTAAATAACCCGTAAATAAAAAAAAACTACTGCGACTGCTTCGTTGGCCGAGTCGCAAGTGCGACTGCCTGGCCAACGAGGGGTCTCAGGCTCGATTCCCAGGTCGGGCAAAGTGTTACTGTTTTTTTTTTAAATTCTCAGTAGTAGCATGGAGTCTGGAATTGTACCCGGTATATGGCAATAGGCTCACCCCCTATTACATGGGACTCATAACATAAATAGTAAAAAGTGGGTGTTACAATGTACACCTTCGGGGACAAAAGGCGTGTATGATATAAAACAACTAATTTCCTTGCTAAATAATTTTACGTTTTGTGTAAACATCTTAAGACTTCATTTACAGGACCGCCCGCTAAATGTGGTAAAAGAAAAACTAGATCGATCAGACTGTTTCAAACTCATAATATTTGTCAAGACACGTTTAAATTATCACCAAGTTATATAATTATATGGAAACAAAGCCTTTAAATCTACAAACAGAAAAAGAATTTAAAAAGTATTTTTACGTCAGATCATAGGAAAATAATTTAAAAACAATCATTGTTTATACCTAATTAGGAAATTAAAATACTTACAAATGGCGATACCGAAGGCGATAGCAATAGCGACGTACGTGGCGTACGTGGTGCAGAAAGGTGTCAGTCCAACTGATATCTGGAACATAATTACTCACATATTTAGAGCTTTGTTTGATACTACCTTCAAAATTATTTATATGGGTATGTGAGAAGTTTATTGACGTTTCAGAAGCCACGATTTTATTTTTTTTAAAGGGGGAAAATCATCGAATGTCATTCGATGATTTTCCCCCCTTAAAAAAAATCGACATCAGCCCTATTGGGCCCCATCCGTGGTGGTCTGATACTCTTTGAGGCGCGCGCGGAACACCACACGATAAGTTGACTCCAACAAATTATATTTTTAAGGCTGTCGATGTCATATAACAGTTATAAAATAAGAAAAAGGTATTCTTATTTTAATAATAAATTAGTTTTACATCTTTTAATGGAGATATTCCAGTGAATATCTATTACACATAGTTTGTATAACTCTTTTGATTCATGAAATGTTTTTATGATCCTTTTTGGGACAAAGTCACCACAACTCCCAGAATGTAGTTTTTATTAATTGTATAAGTAACTCACCGTGGCGATAACAAGGCAGACATTATTGAGCAACAGCGAGTCCATCCAGGGGAAGTCGGCCACCCAGCCACACGCGATACGACCGATCGTGTTCGTTATACCGATGATTGACAACAGGAACGACGCCTGAGACGGTTCTACACCCTGGAAAATGTATAAAACATTAAAACATTTGTGCTTGCATGTAGAAAGGTATTAATAAAAATGACGTGACGCAGAGCTGATAGTTATCAACGTGTTTATTTTATACAGATACAAAGATGAGTTGGGAAAACCAATTGCTTAAAATTTCGTTGATTGAATGATCACAATTGTATTGTAATTGACGAACGGTGGCCGATATGATATCAATGTAAGGTATTTTAGACGTAAAATACAATCATACTTAGGTTTTTGGTATTACATATCGCATATGAGTATGTAGTAGACCTACCTTTATACCATGTAGGTGTCATGTATTTGTAAATAAACCTACAGCACAGAAAATAAAATTTTTTGGTAAACAAACCATAAGGGTAGTACTAAATTATATATTTAATAAGTGTGGGAGAGCCATGCTTCGGCACGAATGGGCCGGCTCGACCGGAGTGATACGGCCTCACAGAAAACCGACGTGAAGCAATGCTTGTTGTGTTTAGTCGTGTGACTGAGGTTACCTTAATTCAGTAGGTACTTTTTCGAACTGTCAAAAAAGAAAGTTTTCTACGAATTTTATACGATATTGTGTATTGTGAGTGACGTCACGTTATTTGACTATAGTATGGACAAACATTATCTCTGTGTAAATGTAGACTGAAACTTTAAAAACAATACTTACACTAAGCCGGGCAGCATCGACGATGTACACGAAAGGTACGTAGAGCCCCGCCATGCCGAATATATTGGACACTCCGATCAACATGAAGGCAGGGTCGCGGAGTAAGCTGACATCCAACATTGATGATAGAGCCGATTTGAAAGAGTCAGGAAGCGATAGGCAGGGGCATAGATCGTATTCTAAAAATTAAAAAAAAAAAACATTAAAATTATTATTCAAATATTTAGAAAAAAAAGTTAGCTGTTCCTACACCTTCTATAATCTGTTTGTGTTACATTATCTTATTCTTATATCTATTACTAGCGACTCGTCCAGGCTTCGCACGAGTGCAGCATGCATGTATTATACATATAAACCTTCCTTAAGAATCACTATATATTAAAAAACCGCATCAAAATCCGTTGCGTAGTTGTAAAGATCTAAGCATACATAGGGACAGACAGACGGCGAATAACGACTTTGTAGTGATTTTTATTTGTTCTTTTTAGAGGTAATTCAAAATTGAGGGCCAAGTTTTTTTAATTCAAATTCAGTCGACTTTCGTTTATTCAAACCCTGCGATAACAATTAACCCTAGAAAATATGTATATAAAACATCTAATTAATTTATTCTATAACTGTGTGCTTACATTAACATGCCTTATAGAGGCAGAGTGTGCAAGCACATGACCTATTCTATGCAAATATACTATGGTGTCTTGACACGAGTCCAAGTGTGTTAGCAATAAACTCAACCTACTGCCATAGTCATAATAATTACTAATTATATAGTTGTCTTGATAAAATATTATTTAACATTAGAGTAGTGCAATAATTTACAACACATTTTCAAATGCACCATACATATTTGTATATCTTATCTGTGATCAGAAACCACAGCCTATAAATAGAACCAATGTACACTTACGTTCTTGTCTCTCCAAGTCCCCAGTTTGCCTACTCTGCGGCAGACTTAATACAGAGTTCCTATATCCTTGCAGGGACTTCTGGCTTTGGTACTGAGGTAGATTGAGCACAGATCCTGAATAGAAGATATCTTTCCTAGACATTGGGCGAACCATTCGAGAAGGCTCCTTAGGACCAGATACCGAGAGTTTAGAGTTGTACATCATGCTTTCGGTGTCACCCTGGAATAGAAAAAATGGTTTTATTGTAGACATGATTATTACAATTACCGAGTTTCCCAAAGCGGTCACTGGTGACCGCTCTCCACCTCCACTATAGTCCTTATTTCCGATGTTTAGAGACTACTTTTGTATGAACCATTTTTGGGGATTTTCGGTACGATATATCAAGTGATTAAGGAGTTTTTATTTGGTTGCTTTTAGGTTAAAGCGAAAATTGGGAGTTTCTAGTTGCTGATAAAGTCGCGCCACTGTGTGTACCTTTATTTTAGTGTTTTATAATGTCTTTTATTTGTATTAACATGACCTTATTAAAATAATTAGAGGATTTTGTAAGGTTTTGTAAAACGAATTCTAAGTGGAACAATCCTTACTATACTTACTTAATATTATAAATAATAGGGTACTTTTTATCCCAGAAAAATTTGATATTTCCGAGGGTAAACAAAAGTATTGGTATAGATGGCGCTGTGTGTATTGGATGTCACATAGGCTACTTTTTACCCTTTGTGACGCGAGCGAAGCCGCGGGTAAAAGCTAGTAATTTCATAAAGGAAGTATTGAAAACTTTAATGAAAGAGCCATATCGTAATATAGACCAGCTAATTTTACACTTACGACATGGTTTAACGAATCTTCTTATTTCTTTTGATCATAAATATTCATTTTAATGCATTTGAATGCAAATTGGAATGATTTACACGGAAGATATATAGTTTTGGAAGACACTTATGTCCCTGACCATGTCATAAGTAATGGCATATTGTTTATAGATGTAGCGGCCTTGTTGGCTTCGTAGTTTATTCTTCGCGTATAAAAGTACAGCAATAGATGTTTTTGTAGAGACGTGTGATAGTAAAATTTAATATGATTGCGGTATTCTCTAGATTTGTAGGAATCTTTATTATTTGAACCAAATAACATAACATAACATCACGCCTTTTATCCCCGAAGGGGTTGGCAGAGGTGCACATTATGCCACTGTACAATGTAACACCCACTTTTCACTATTTATGTTATAAGTCCCATGTAATAGGGGGTGACCCTATTGCCATATACCGGGCACAATTTCAGACTCCGTGCTACTACTGAGAATTTTTTTAAAAACCCTGTAGTAGTTTGCCCGACCCGGGAATCGAACCCGAGACCCCTTGCCCGGCAGTTGCACTTGTGACCACTCGGCCAACGAGGCAGTCCAACCAAATAATTGAGTCTTGAACCAAATAATTGATAAGAAATATTATAAATGATGAACTAAGGTTTTTTGTCCATAATAGGATGACTAAACTAAAACAATACAAACGTCGGACTCGTCAATAAGACGTCGGACTAATACAAAGGTAGCAAACCTTTAATATTACTATTTTCTAGAAACCTCTACAATTTTTTTCAAGGGTAGCTCATGACATAACCTGGTAGTTTCATAACCCAAGTTTTGTTTTCCGCCAAATGTCAGTCACTAGCTCAAATTCAAAGTTAAAATGTTCTAAAAAAAAGTCTAGAATGATTGACGACATGTATATTCGAGTAAACTAATGACATCTATATTCGAAATTTTCGCTATATACACAAAGACTGGCACATATTTTGAACTCTATTACGAGAGTATAAGATTGAAAATGTTTTAAAGAAAATTGGCAGAAAGGTGTAGTTTGATCTGCGGTATCTGTACACAGGAACAGTTTCCTTGGATGTTTGCCAGTCGACTATTTGGCAGACAATTACAAAAGTTCAAGGTCACGTGTATTGAGGAACACATTATTATCACATGTCAGTATTATGACCATATGTACGCCCTTGACAACAATTCCGTTGTCATATCTGAACCAGGTCAATTGGTTTGAACTAAATACAATTTCAACACCGACATATTTAGTAGGAATTGTTTAAGTGTTTACATGAATTAGTTGTGATTAGTGTCTGTGTAAACAAAGTACTTTCGTTGTTTAGTTGAAATTAAGTTCATACGAATAACTTACATCAGCATTCCTGTATTGACTGTTCATTGAAGTTTTGGACGTAGCTTTGATAGCAGCCAGGGACGGTTTGAATCTGAAATTACAAACAAATCATAATTAGTATTTATTAATTTTGTCACGATCCACAAAGGGAAAACCGAAAATCATTTTGGACTGTGTGATGTATAAAAATGCTTTCCATATAAGGCGTAAGTCTTGATTCTATATCAGTATACTTCATTAAAAGTCACCATTGACAACAAAATAAATTAATTTCTCATCGCCACACACACACACGCACATGCATTACACTACATCTAGTTGTTACCAATTTCTAGTAATTTCCTACATGAACAAAACATACAATAATATTATGTGACAAACCAACTAACAGAATGACTCATTACAATAAACATGCGAAATTAAACATGACCTATAAACACAAAATCTAACATAAAATGTTTACATATAAAGCGTCTCCATTGATTTCTATGTTATGCGGCACTACGCGGCGTGTTCAATCAAAACATTTGTAGAATTAAATCAAATCGTTACGGCGCCATTCATGCTTGTGTTCTCCAATCAATTCTACTATTGACCGTCTGTCGTTATACATTGACAATTGATCTTGAGAAATGCAAATAAAAATATCTATTGTTAATGCGCAATGTTTAAATCAGTATTGGGACATTAGTAGGAGAATTGATAGAAGAATTCTTATATCTTTTGATAACATTGGGAAGTGAGTAAACGAAAATCGATCTATTGCTACTATTTGACAAGCTAAAGTTAGCTACGATAACACCACAAACTTTAAACAAACTACATACTTTGACCACAGCACACATAAAATAGTTTTGACTGTCAACTGAGTGGAAAAAGTGCGAAAATAGAACTTAAGACACAGTTACAAAACCTAAATTATAAAAATGTACTGCTATAATGTTAATTTCATTACAGTGCATTTAATAAAACCCATTTAACAGTCAAGTCTTTTTAGAACAGTGGTGAACAAACTACGGCTCTTAAGTCAATACCGACACCCCGGAATGTAAAGGAATACTGTGTAACACTCGAAATGCTGCTCACGACTATAAGCCCCTTGCTGTGCTTGAAATTAGTTGAGTTACTTTATTTAAAAAAAACGATCGTGAGTACGCCATAGAACATTCTATAGTCCATCTGTTTAGGTAATTAACTAAAGGTAAACAAAGAAAACCACGTGACACAGAGATACTTAACCTACTATTACTTCAAATATTTCTCGTGTTTTAATTTTAACTAAATTCACTTTAAAATCGTTCATTTGTCATACACACACATACAAGTACAAATGCCTAAATCGTACAAGAGCCTAGCCTATGGGTCTATTTCATTATCATATTTAAATAGAAACTATTCTGAATCTGATGTACGGATTTCTTTCTTCTACGGATATGTGTCTTTGGGCCAAGTTTCTTCAATATATTTGAACACATTAATTACAAACGATGAATAACCTAAACTTAAATAACTTAATAACAAAAACAAAACAAAGAAACAAGATAAATTAAACAAAATAGGAACGCGAGCGCAAACGACGAGAGAGCTGTCAATGGCGCCTGATTAACCGACTAAACGTAATACACGCTACTTTCATTGTCGCGCTACATCTTAGTTGTACTCTTTAATTTGACAACATTATTTTGCTTCGTTCTTAAAGAAGGGTTTTGTATACCTGGGATTTTAGGCTCTTTATGGTGTCTATTGTAATGAAATATTATATTATTTAATAAATGATATTAAATTATTATCCTCAAGCAGATATATATAATATTTACTAAGAAATAAGTGAAATGGAACAGAAACATAACATTTAATAGAGAAAACTGTCGTAAAAAGGGAAACAATTTTATTTTCTTATGAAGTATTTTGAATCATGGAAAAGTCAACTATAAAGAACTCTTTTTATGGTTTGTTTACAAATAGTTAACTACCTAAACAGACGGAGTATAGGTAACTTTTGAAATATTTTAAACTCCTTAGAAAGAAAAGTTTGTCCACCACAGTTCTAGAACATAGTTACTTCCACCACCGAACATCCCACGAAGACCAGACCCTTGTCCAGCATACGCTATAAAGAAAAACTATCTACTACCTATCACCGGACCTGTCGCCAGTGCTCTGTTTGCGCTGCCTGTCGAAGAATGGTACGGAGCCGTTCTTGGGTAGACCGGGCGCGTGCGCACTAAACGCAGGCGAGGACACGTTGCGGGACATCAACTGCTGTTGCGGGTTCACTGTTACGTTGCCGTTTTCGCCCTGAAAAAGGAATTAAAATGGTTAAGTTAAAGTTTTATAGGAAAAGAAAGAATCTATAAATAATAATTTTAAAATTTAAAGTATTTCTATAGGTTTGTTAACATCTCGCAAATGCGCTGCGAATTTGCCACTCGCGAGCCGGTTAGTGCCCAACTCATACGGGGTTCGTATAAATAATATTTTTAAATGCACGCGTGCAGTTCGCGAGCTGCGCACTCGCGGAGCATTCGCCAGATGTGGACGCACCCTAACAACGAAATGGTGTTCAGACACCTTTGAAACCTCATGTAAATGTCTATTAATGAATCTTTTAGCTTTTTCCAAAAGGTGGTATTATAATTATGCTGTAAGGAAAAGAATGAGTAACAACTCTCTTGTTTCGATTTTAGGTCCATGTTAAGAGTGAAAACTCAAGAGAGTGTTTAGGTTCATTGAGTCTATTCTCTCTGTATTTGATCATTTTGTGTTTTTCTCTTTGTATATTTATTCAAAAGACAACCAATATATTGTCAATTAATCCTTAACGATAGAACAATTTTTATTATAAGTTGTTCAATATAAAATACAGATTAAGGGTTATAAATACAGACCTAATTCTAATTTATCACATGTTTTTTATGAATGATATATTGCTACATAGGTATGATTGACAAAAATTCCCCAATAGCACTTATCATACAAACATTTATCATTCGGTTGGAGAATTAGAGTCACGTGCGTATTGAATTTATTTTAATCAGAATAACACCTACACATTAATGGACAATGTGATTGTTTGTAATTTGACTCACTGTCTAGATATAACGTTTTATTATTTATAGGTATTATTATGTACATACATAACATCATGCTTTTTATCTCCGAAGAGGTAGTACACTGTACCCCACCGTACAATGTTTTCACCACTTTTCACTATTAATGTTATGAGTCGCATGTAATAGGGGGTGAGCCTATTGCCATATATACCGGGCACATTTTTCCAGACTCCGTGCTACTACTGAGAATTTTAAAAACCCATTAATACTTTGCCCGACCCGGGAATCGAACCCGAAACCCCTTGCCCGGTAGTCGCACTTGCGACCACTCGGCCAATGAGGCAGTCATAATTATGTACATACATACACACATAACATCATGCCTTTTATCCCCGAAGGGGTAGTACACTGTCCCCACTGTACAATGTTACACCTATTTTTCACTATTTACGTTATGAGTCCCATGGAATAAGGGATTAGGCTATTGCCATATACCGGGCAGAATTCTAGACTCCGTCCTAGGTTATTTATTGCCATATTGGTTACCTATTTAGGTAGAAAGTATCAATTGGATATAGAATACATGAAGAAATGAGTCTTCTAATGTTTACTATAAGACAATTTATCAAAACGAACAATAACTAACAAAACTCCATTTTACAGATCGTAACATCTAGAAGCTACATTAAAAATTTCACTTTACCGTTTCTAACAACGTAAAATATGGTCATTTCATCCCGTATAAGGTTTGACTCCAATTCTCCAACCCAGAACAGATCTACATACTGTTGTCTAGACATAAAAGTTTCTCGTTATTATAACACCATTATCAGATGGTTGATGAGATATAAATTACAAAGAACTCAGTATGAATCAATACCTATGGAATAGATATATTTATTTATTTGTTTATCTATAAGCCATAGACACCCGCAACCACAGATTACACAGGAGATTCAAGTGCGTTGCCGGCCGAAAAGATGAACGCTCCTTTCTTGAAGGATCCAGCATATACAGAAAATCAACAATCTACATCCTAGCCTTATAAAGCAGACTAATCAATTAGAGCTACAAACTGAAACTTAGATTGCCAATTAACATTTATATAAGAAAACTTTTACGCCCAACGTTCATTAATATTCTCTTAAGGGTGAGTATTTTACGTCAACCATAATTAACGATGTATTTTCTTTAATTATAACTTCAGGTGTTTACCTATTTAGCCACATAGGCCTTTAATTATAGTTCACAAAATACTTATGCCTAAAACATAGTCACAATCACATATTACGTCTATGTGTGTTTTAAAACATACATAAATAGACATCATGTAATAGGTACAATTTATTATATTGTACGTTCAGTCCCGTGCATTATAAAATGCTGAGGACAAGACTTATTAATATTCGCGAATATCTTGCCGACTCATGTCTGCCCTAGCTAGCATCGTGCGATCGTACTGAAGGACTTTCAAAGGCATTTTCTACGCAGACAACGTCCCAGACCTGCCTCAATAATATTTATTTTTAACTTTATTCCTTCTCCTTTACAGTGGGTTTTCTTTAAACAAATCTTGTTATGAACAAAGAGGTCGAGTCAGCGACTAAGAAAATATTTGTTTCGTGCGTAATGTTCCACAAATCGTCCAGTGTACGCTTTGTTATGAGCACAGGTATGTATTACAGGTAATTTAAAGTAAGTTAGTTGGCTATATGAAAATTTGGTTCTGAGTTAACGACCTTTAGTACCTTATTATTATCTACACACATTTATAAAAGTAGATGTTAAGATTTATAATTAAATTCCTATGTAATGTTAGATAATTTTGATACAGAAACAGTGTAGGCGTTCTTCACAAATGGATCAAATTAGCTTGGTCATATAATACAGGTGCACCGCCCACATAAATATCTTTGACCCGTGGAAGTGCGAAACACGTGTAGAGAAGTACATACCCTACGTAACTTGCATTCTTGCAAGTGTAAATATTTGCTGGCAAATGGTGTGCAACTATGTTATATGATTTGAGATCGGGTATGAGCATGTAAGGGTTTGTTCAACAAGTTTAGAGTAATGATGTTTGATTTTATTCTGAGTTGTCACTTCCATATGTCTATGGAAGTCTGAGGCACTCTACTTAGTAGGCTGACATAATAGTGATGATGTGAAAACTACTCAGAAGTAAGCTAGTTTTTTTATTTTAACCTTTATGCATGTATGCATTAATTAAGTGGTAAATGGCTATTTGTTGGTAGTTTCTGGTATAAGTTATACAAAATTTCAAGAGCGATTCCCTCAACAATTTATGACTTAACTGTAACTCTACAGACTTTCTACTATTACTCCAACGTGTCTCATAATCACGTACAAACTAAGCTGAAAATTTATTTAAACTATACGAAGTTTTCTTGGGTAGATACTAAAGGTCATATCCAAAACATAATTTCACCTCTGTAATTTTTCGTAAGCGTAGGAGGATGTTTATATTATAAACCATAATTATTATATTTCGAACGGTGAAATTCCCAATCTCATTTCGGTTGACACAGTGACTAGGCGACCACCCATAATGTGTGACGAAATCGATATCTGAATAATTCTTTTATCGCATTAACGATACATGGGAAATTTCTTCTGAGAGGAAAAGGTTATTGGCATTGCCTCTGTTTTGTAATGGTAAAGAACATACTACATACCTTCTTTTTCTCCTCACCGTCATCAGCAACTTTAGCCTCAGTAATAGTGGGTAACGTAGGCACAGTCGGTACTCCAGGCATATTAGGAACAGTCGGTACTCGCGCCAACGCTTCCAAGTTTAGCGAAGAGTGCACTCCAGGATCAATGTTTAGCGGCGCCTGGTAATAACAACTTTATGTTCAGTTATCAAGGTCGATTTTAGTTTGGGAAGTCATACTTCGAATTGTGGATATAAGTCCTTTCGGAAGATATAGGTAAACGTTACTTAAATTTCACTTTCATGCAATTGCCTTGTATTTGCATCTGTATTTTGATTGTAATGGACACTGTAGCAATATTATCATGGTAGAGACGATTAAGTTTTGATTAAAGCACTCTTTTAGTAACGTTTACTTATTTCGACCATAAATCTCGGAGTAACTTATTTTCTTTATTATTGTCTCTCCTGTTTACAACCTCATATAGGGTCACTTGTATTATATAACTATTGTAACTACTTAAAAATCGTCTATCATTAAAATTTCATTCTAATTTACCATTGATTTAGGTTCAATTTTGTATTTCGCAATTCATAATCGAGTTAAAAATTTCGAGGTATGACTGTATTACAATCACGGAGCAAATGCTTATACTTGTTCCATGATTCCAACTACCAATCGGTAGACACTTCATGCACCACAATATCCAATGCGACAGTAGAATTTGAAAGATAGCATTCACAGAAAATGTTCGCGTGCTTCCCGTACAGGTAGGAAAGTTTGTAGAAATACAATCAATACCAGACTACTCACTTAGCGATAATAACAGCGACAAAGAAAGGGGGAATAAAGCTTGCCAATCGTACGAAGCCATTGCCCTCAATATGGCATACAAATGCTGCATAATATATAACATTGTCCACAAAAGACACGATTTGCTAAATCATTTTCATTATAAAATATTAATAATTTCTTCATAGAACTCTGTGGTCGTCCTCTATTATGCAGCATTTTAGAGCTTCAGCATAAAATAAATTTTGCTATTAATTCTAGCTAATCTGATACATCGATCGAAACTAAATGTATTAGGGTTGAAATGTGCTAAGACCATCAAAAGCCAATTTTTCTAATGATTCCCACTTTGGAAGGATAAAGGCGTAAATATTATAATTTGTCAAATAAAGACCCACCATGCAGTTTATAGTCCCATCGATTTAAAGTTATTCCCCAAATGAATGATAATAATTCCTATGACATGAAAATACTTGGCACTTCCAAGAACTACAATGAATGGTTTGGAGTCTGAAAGTGATGTAGGTACCTATGAGTGAAATTCATGTTTATAACCCACTCAGAAATTTTCATTTGTCAGATAAAAGAAAAAGTTTCCAAATAAAAATAGTATAAAAAAATAACAGAAGACTTCAATTTCACAGAATGTTTCTTTACAAGTTTTTCTTTACGCCCTTATTCCTCACCCAGTGCAAAATCAACTAAAATTTTCATGCACAAAGTACGTACGCTGCCAATACATGCTTCCTAATAATTTTGTTAGCACATCAAGCCGAGAGACAGGACTTAAAGTACCTAGCAGTCTGCTAGATATAGTATACCACCACCTCAAGGGGAAGATGCGTTTCGTCTGCATTTAATAAAAAAAGAATAATAATTATTCAAATAAGGAGCTAATGTTGTATAAATGTCCTAATAAGGAGCTATTGTTGTATAAATCTTATATATATATATAAAAGAAAGTCGTGTTAGTTACACTATTTATAACTCAAGAACGCCTCAATCTATTTAGATGAAAATTGGCAGAGAGGTAGTTTAGAACCAGGAGACGGACTTAGGATACTTTTTATAGAATACTTTTTTTTTACTTTTTACCGAAAATCACGAACGGGAACGGGGGAAAAATGGGATTGCGCGTACAAAGTCGCGGGCAGAAGCTAGTATCCTAATAAAGAGCTAATGTTGATGTCCTATCTTTTTTTTATAATCAGGACTGATTAGTGGTTTAACGTGAGTTTTCAATAGGGATAAATGTAATATTTATAGTCTAAACAATTGACATTTACCAATTTGTATCTACATATAATAAAATGGCCAATTCAGTGATGTAAATAGAATTAGATTGTGATAATAACCAAATTAAACTGTTTCAAAATAAATATCAAAATCAGAGCATTTAATAAGTAATTTACTAATTTGGTCAAGTGTGTAGGTAATTCGAAAACTACCCCAAATTACTGAGTAGAGTTTAAAGTACTCATCCAAAAAATCCTACAGCTAAATTAACATTACTGTTTTAATAACAGCAAAGAGTTTCAAAACTTTCAGATAACGAAACTCATTTCTACTCAAACTCCTTTCGCAAGACGAAACGCATCACCTTAAAAAAGTACTTAGAATAGTAATATTAGTGAAAAGCATCTACATACAGTATCGTCTACAACGTTCACCTTCAACCGCTTCTCCATAGTACCGTCTGGGAGCTGGACCACGAAGTATGAACCTCCTATAGACCCTCGTTCCATTTGCAACCTTTTTTCTTCAGCCATACGTTGCAATAACGGCTTTTCGCCTGATGTCTGTAAGTTTTAGGTAGTGTTTATGATAGTAAGAAAATTACATAAACTCATTAAAAAATGTCTAATTAGTGCGAGTTGTGAGTTTAATTTAGGATTTCTGCTTTTTAATAGTTGGTCATCACAGCACCTTATCATCATCATCGTCAAGGTCTTCAAGGATTTGTATCAAATATTTTATTATATTCATCTTGTTCTATATTAAAACTATCGTGAGACATCTAATTAATTATTATGTTTTCGGCTTACTTCCGTAACTGATTGATGAGGAACTCGACTAGTTTCAAGCCATGCTAGAAGCTCATATCCATAAGCATCTGATGTTCCTCGTCAAACAGTTGAACATACATAACACAACATCACGCCTTTTATCCCCGAAGGGATAGGCAGAGGTGAACATTATGCCACTGTACAATGTAACACCCACTTTTCACTATGTTATGAGTCCCATTTAATAGGGGGTGAGCATATTGCCATATACCGGGCACAATTCCAGACTCCATGCTACTACTGAGATATTTTTTTAAAAAACCCGTAATACTGTGCCCGTCCCGGGAATCGAACCCGAGACCCCTTGCCAGTCGCACATGCGACCACTCAGTCAACGAGGCAGTCGTTCAATCAATTGAGTAAGCCGAAAACATAATGATTAATATATTATTCTTATTTTCATATGTAGACAAGCACTAAAGACATCCAAACCGCAAAGTCTGAACCCGAAGTATCACTATTGGATAATAATGAGCTAGAACTGTAGAAGTCAGCTAAAAGGGTTATCGATGGGGTCATCAATAAAGTACTATAATTAATTACAAGCATTTCCATGTAAACAAATTAATTAATTAAGCCAAATAGTGATGATCAGCAAATCAATCTGTTTATCATTCAATTACATTGAAACAATTAAACCTACTTATAACTGAACTATTTACCTACTACACACATACCTATATTTTTTCTAACAACTACATTATGTAAACAATATAAAGAGTGAATTCCAAACAAATAACGTAGGTATATAAAATAATAGATGAGCAATAGTTTCCTTGTATTTGCATTGAGGTTTGTGGTAAAACACAAACTATTAACTAATAGTCTTAAGCACTTTGAAGAATAAGTATTTACTGTATCTAGGTGGAACAGAGTAATTGACTTAATTTCCTTCTAGGTTCATAGAGGACTGAATTCATTTATACCATACTAATATAATAAATGGGAAAGATTTGAATATTTGTTTGCATTGAATTGAATTTTATTTAATACGAACTCATTGTACTGATTTAAAAAAATCCATTACAAAAGTAATTTTTCAAATAATAGTGTAGGCTACTTTTTCTTTTTCAGATATTCCTACAGGATCCGGAGTACCTATAATTTGAGAGAAATATTCTATATTCCACCTGGGTGAAACCGCAGTTTATAAATATAATATTTATATATGCTAGCTTTCCATAGTATGTATAATTATTATATTTAGTATAAAGTCATTACAACTTGTATGAGTTATTTCATGATGGAATATACCTATAGACTATAAATCGAATGGATATTTCCTTAAGTATGTACGTACGAGTCTATTTTATATGTATAATATAAAGAACATTTACAAACTGCTATACCTAGCTGATCCTACGAGCTTAACTTACTTAGGACAGAAACCGACTGTATACAGCTGTGTAGTGGGACCGAGAAATCCTTATTAATTGACATGGAATACCCAGCTTAATGAACACATTAACTCAGTAAGCTAGGCTATCTTACGTCAATCTTAACATTGTACCTTTTATCCATAAAGAGTATGCAGAGGTGACCAAAGTAAATGTATTAACAATGTGTAATATAGTTGACCCTATCTTGCTTATAATGAAACTTTTGTTCATGTAAAAGTAGTACAAACCTTAGGATAGACCAACGGTCTCATTAGGGCACCGAAAACAGCACAGTTAAGGATCAGGCCAGCCAACAACAAGTTAGCATTTTGCCAGGATCCGAACTCATTGAGCAGTAGCGCGGCTAAGGGCGCAAAACTGAAGGTTCCCACTCCTGAGCCACATACAGCGATACCCGTAGCAAGGGATCGCCGGGACTCGAAGTAGTAACCCACGGCAACCACAGATGGAAGGTAGATCATACCGAAGCCGAGGCCTGAAACAAAGTTCATGTTTAATCGTGGAGGAAAATAACATATTTATTTACTTTGCTGATAATAACTTGATGAACCTAATTCATAACAAATAATAAATGTTATAATATAACCTACTTTGCAGTTCATGTATTCCTACTGCGTAATTTGAATTGACATACTGAAGCATTGGATAAAAGTGTGACAGCTTCCATGTGTTTGTATAAAATGTGTATTTTTGCCACTAGGTTTTTCTGTCAAAAGCACCAGTAGCGAAAGTAGTTTTTTTTAAAACTACGCCATAAACGATCGTAAGGGGATTAATGACAGTCATTATGTTACAGACATAAGAGGGTCGGATGTGACAAAACCTTCAGTAAATTAGACTCTGTCCCCAATTAAACCAGGAGTTCATTCATCCGTGACTCACAAAAGTCCAGTACATTTTCGCAGACTAAGTAGGAACCGACATCACAAGTTCACAACCGGCATTTGCATATGTTTGGAACTCACGCCGCTATGCAAAACAAAATCTTCAAAGAGGTGAACACTATGATTAGTGGCAGTTGCTCAATTTGGCACACTCCCAAATTACAGAGAACTTTGACCAATTTGCCTGAGATGCCTACGTCACATAATTTGGCTTGCGATAAAAAACACAGACCGTCATCCAGTCGCCGGTATTTCACTGGTCTGACTTGTGGGCATTGACATCAGATTCGGATCGTTAGGACCAAGTCATCGATACCTTGATAAACAAAGAAATCTTACATTTCATGAATAAAAAATACTTTCACACTCCACTCCAACGATAAACTCCTTCGAAAGAATACATTATGCTATATAAGGTACAAACAATATGCTAACGAACTCCTTATCGATTATTCAAATATACCTATAACATAATAATATTTCGTTTAATAATTAGAGCAAAATGGGTCAGATAAGATATGAGAGTTATTCACTTGTCACAATTATGCAATTATCGTACATCCTCAGCACTGTATGCTAGTAGCATTATTTTTATTACACGACTTTTACTAAAACCGCGACAGACGTTCCCACGTTTATTCCCATTGATTCTCAAACAAATAACACCCCCTTTAGGCTTCGTCCCTGTAGACGGCCTTGGCTAGTTACCGAGCAACATCTTAATGTAGTCGTTAAAAGCCGTTAACGACATAAAGGGAATAGGAAAAACGTTACTCCATAACGTTTAATTTTATGATAACATTTTAGTACAGTATAAGTTTCATAATACGTGAAAATAATTCAGAATATGATATGTGAGTGAGTCAGTGTTTGTTGTCGGCCCACAAATCAGTATTTGAAACCACACAAAGGAGCATATGGGTTGTTGGCTGCTACAAAGAGGTCGTCGCCACTTTATAAACGCATGCGTCACTTCCCAGTACATATTCCACATTTCTCATCAAATAAATTAATCATCAATTTACACACAATGTTGCCAGCTGGAGACGGTACAATGAATCGACATTTCACCCAGATTCTTTTCAAACGAAGAAAACTATGTAAACCACTATGTTTATAGGTTAGGTGTAATTACTCAACAAAGTAATACTAAGTAATTACCTTACCAATGCAAATACTTGATTTAAGTGAGCATTTATTTATACCTACGTAAAATGTTTAAAAATCACAAAGAGATAAGAAGATTCTCTTCAAAACATCCACAAACACACTGACCTATTTCCGTACGTTAGTCAGCGTGATACGAATGCGAAATAAAAACAAACTTTAATTTAAAGTTCAACCATTCTACCGAGGAAATAATGAAAAACTCCAAGTGTTTCAAAGTAAATTTCCAATAGACTTGTTTGTAAACAAATAATTGGCAGCAAAATTGAAAAGTTGTACGAATTTTTTGAACTGCTTCTTGGAAACTTGGGACAACAGAAGCAATCGACGTCGAGGTCAAAAGAGTCTTTGTGAAGAAAATGTTTCTTTGGCGTCTCGTGTTTTCTTTTTTCGAGACTTAAGACCAGACTCTTTTCTTTTGCCGGCTACAATCTTTGTGCACGTTTCTACTCAGAGGATTTTAAAAATACTTTTCTGATATTCGATAAGATTAGGTGCGTTCAAACAGATGCATGTATTCACGATTTACTTTGTTTCTGTTAGCAACTGGCGATAAGGTATTTTCCTATCGAATTATATACAGCGCGTCAAGTTGTCAATGTTTACTTAGTGCCACTTTAGGCATATAATGGGCAAATAGAATAAGTTTGATCAACACCTCACACACGAAACTGTTATGGATCTTTTGTTTTATCTCTAATGGATAATTTTTTTAACAAATTGCCTTACATACAATTTTGAAAAGTCGGCCTATATTACTGTCGACATTGAGACTTGATGACCTCACCGTTTAGCTGCGAACTGGGATCACTAAAATTGGTGTTAAATAGACGTGCTAATCATTGAAACATTTATGATTTAGGAAATACTAACAAGATGATATCTCTGTGTATTTCTCGGGTTTGATAGAACTACTGATTTCATATTCACGATTTTCTTTACAACTTGGAAAATGGATCATAATCTTACGCTTTATGCGACAGTAACATAACCATAACATGAATAATATTTTAGACGAGAATATTTGAACTGGGAACGAAGACGACGTATTTTTCCATCGTTAAAACCTTGAATGGCCGGCCGTACGATATAAGAATTAGGTCACATTGGAAATTCTATAAACGATCCCGTGCGGGATTGAAAATAATCATTTGCCAGCTATTAAATCTTAAAATAGATGAAGTGTGTAAGTTGTAATGTGTGTACAATTAAAGACAATATAATATTCTAGCCTAGTAAGGCGCCATGTTGTCTGCAACAGTTGGCAGTTTGCCAAGCGTCCCGTGTTCTTAATGACCTTGAAGTTGTTTCAATGTACACCACAGACTCTTCATTTGTCATGTAATTAAGCCAATCGGACGAACGAAGATTAATTCACTACCAATTAGAGAAATGTTTATTCTTGAATAAGAATACTATCTATGAGTATTGACTGTCTCGTTTGTAAGTAATAAAGGGTTCTATAAACACTTTTTTCAGTAATACAACCTTCTTTCAAACTCTTTACCATTCAGGCAGTCGAACAAACTAAAAGTATCCCGTAAAGTTCTGCGAACATAGAGTCTATTTCCAAGAAACTTTCCCCTTTCAGAAACCGGGACTTGTACTACTAAGCGGCATCCATAGCTGTAGTCTAGCGTCCCTGTATTAGTTATTTAAAATAGTCGGGCGACAGCAGTACATTCTGCGAATGGAAAAGCCCGCTTTTCCTCGAATTCAGTTAATTGCCAGAAGGGCTTAACACTTAGAACTAAAACGTCATTTAAACCTTTTCGTTTACATAAGTGTCAGTTGGCAAATGTCCAATTTTACACTCGGGCTGTTGCCTCTGTTTTCAAGGGTTTGAGAGAACAAAGAACGTGTCGAAACTCTTTAATATTTGAAGCATCTCGGTTTATCGAACAAAAGACAGGATAAAATGCGAATGAATATTTCTCGAGGTAGAAGTTTGTTTGAATAAAGGACAAATATTGTCTCTTCTGAGGGTCGACGGCACGGATTACATACAAACATACCTAAATCTTCTTTTACAAGTTTCGCAAAATGTGCGGTGAGAGAAAAGTTCACGCAAAGGCCATCCCGTTTTTCGAATGCTAACGAGGAACATGTAACGAGCTGTCAAATCTCATATCCAATACTGTGACTGGTTGTTATTTTTTGGTCAACCTATCATATTCGTTGTCATTGGATGCGACAACAGATTAAATTGATCAGCCAACTAGAAAGGGATATAGAGTTTCCTATTCGTATTGTGTCCTTGGCAATTCAACCCCTTACAGTTTATAGTGGCCATGGCAGTGACATACAAGTAATTACAGTAGTGGAAAGCCATACGTTTGCGTAATTAACAAGTTGCAGCACTCCCATATCGATCCCTATATAGTAATTTCCTCTGGGATCTCGAAGGTTATCAGACAATATTGTTATAACATCACTATCAGGTTTATCCTTCAACGACATTTATAAATCGATTGAAAGAATTACAAACGTACAGAGTTTCCCTAAGGGCGTATAATTTAAATATTTAAATAGAATTCCAATTGGTGTTAAAATTTCCTGCATTTAAATGAACCGACAAATGATTCGCAATAAAGATTTCGCGCTCAATTGAATAGCGAAATATGCAGTAGTCCTCGGAATAGTCGAAACATGTACACAGGCGAGGCTTAGTTAACAGAATAGTATTGTAAAAGTCTATAGCTATTTTTTTTTTTTATAAAAAGTAATTTAACTTAGACAATAAGGACAAACTTTAATCAAATCACAATAAACCGTATTCACGTGGACATAAGAAGCACTGTCAGAAAACTTTCTCGTGTAAATACAATAAAAGTTTTCAAGTACAATCTTGCACTCGACATACGAATTGTATTCTCAACGATGAAGCTGTACATATTCGTAACAAAGAACATGTTGAATAGCATCACGACAATGCATTTTCAAAAATAAATTGTCTCTGTATTTAATGAAATACATTGTTTCTAAATGAAATAATTGTACATTGTACAAAACAAATGTTTTCCAGAAGAGATAGTCATGTAGGAAAATTAATTATGCCGTATGCACCATTTGCAAAACACTACATACCAGGAATACTATTATGCGACGGGACTTTAGTAAAAGGTAATCATTAATGATACACTTCGGACCAAAAACAGTGAGTCAGTCAACGACTAATAGCAAAAATGAAATTGCATGCACATATTATTGCAATTTTACTCTCATGAATTCATTGTCTATTTGACTCATGTGTTGATGACGGAAATAATTTGAGTCATGACTATGAGTGAGCTGTTATAATAATTAATCTGCACATGTATTCGTATAAATATGATAATTATTTGTTGCTACGTCGAATTTGAAACCTGCACCGTTAATTATTCATGTTCGTGTCGCCATATTGTACCTATGTATCTCAATACCGACAATACCAGTTGTATAATTATTATCTAATAGTCACAGAATGGTACCGTTTGACCTTATTTACATCTGTTATTATGGCCATTTGCGGGTAATGTCAGTCAGATGTACAAACGGGTATATCCTTTAAGTCTGTGGTTCGAAGGACGGTTGGCCGCGACATGGTGACGCCACCCCATAACTGTGCTAACGTGCCAAGGCCGGCGGGCATTTACATAACTCACACGTTCCACATGAGTCCTGCAAGCCATTTTATTGCCAACCCATTCTAAATATACTTGAAGTAGTGTGTTTTGCAGCTCAAACTTAATTAACCGACAAAAGAATTTTAGTTCAGAAACAGAAAATCCCTGTAGCATTTTTCTGAGGAAAATTGTTCTAGAGAAGTTGTTCGGTTTGGCAATACATTTCACAATGCTAATCTGTTTGTCTCTCCGACGTAAACTGAATGACGTGTTTCCGCTCGGGTGAAATATTTCAGCCATTTTATGCTGGAAATTCCAGTAAATTTAGAGGGCATAAAAATAAAAACCTCGTTAATTTTTATATGGATATCAGAGTACATACTTAAACTTGACGTGGGTAAACATGCTAGGTATATGAGCATTCTTGGAATTCTCGATCAATATCTAATTTCAGTGAAACACAATATTTTAATCAGATAATCTGAGAATTCATCCCAGTTAAGGTCCTAATAGATAATAAAATTGTGTATTTCTAATTGTTGCAGAGTAACGAAGCGAACGAGGAACATGTAAATATATTTATTTGATGTATAGTGTGTAAGGAAGATAAAAAATACAAAATTGCCAAAAGATTTTCTTTTCCATAAGTGACAATACCTGCTAACGTATTACGTCATCGTAACCCCGACATTGATGGATTGACAACACATGAGATTATTCCATGTTCTTATAAGCAGTTTACTTCCCACATCGTTGATTTATTAAGAAATATCAATAAAATCAAACGCTTCCGCAGTTTTTAGTTCTAAGACTCGATTGCCAAGTAAAGTAAAAGTTTACTTCTATCAATATCTATTTAAATTAATTCATTCCTGTAGCGGAGTTCCATGTACGCTATAACTAGAAAAACTTTAATTAATCCATCAAACTTCATTGTTTGCTTAACTACATTTGTGATATCCCCAGCGTAGCCCATCATACCATTTGTTAGTTGCAGTCGAGTCAGCAAATTCAGAAAGAGATACATATTTTTATCTTGCTTCACACTCAGGTCTATTTTCAGTCCACTCGCAACAATACCCCGATTGTGTTCACTATAATTCAAAAAGTGCAGAATCATCATGAAAAGCAAAGAAAATGAAAACTCACCTCCGATTAATCCGTAAGTGATCATCATCATAGTGACACTTTTACTGAACGTGGATAGGACGAAAGCAGCAGCTGCTACAAACGACCCAGCCACGCACACTGCTCGGCACCCGAACTTGTTGCATAACGCCGAAACAACAGGACCTGCGAACAACATTGATATACAGAATATACCTACTTCAAAAAACAGCCCCCAAGAAAACGAAACTCTACGTAACTGGCGATTTACGTAACTCCAACCTCGAAGGGTTCCATTTAAATAAACAACTGAATATACCACTTTGATTAATGCGCTAGCTTTAATCAAATCGCAATTAATTAAGACCAAATGAATTTTGCTAACAGTAAAACTAATTAAGAAAACTATGCTTCAGAAGCGTAGAAATCTAATGGAGCTAAAATGTTTATGTAAGCACAACATCAAGAATTATGGAGAACTAATAAAATTGTTGCAATTTAGACTTGTTTATTTTCTTGTTAAGGATTCTCTTAGTGGGTCATTGATATTGTGGCAGTAAAGTAAATGATACTTAGTAGATATTAGCTTAAATATACAATTAACATGTCAAATGTAATATCGGTTTCTCATGCGAGGTATGGTATGAAGATATTAAGTAGGATCATTATCAATAACAGCCAGGTGACCACCTTGGTACTGAAACCTACATTACAAACTTGATCTGAGTTACTCGGATTATTTAAATACATTCTTAGAATCGAGTCCAAGGAATCGATGAGTCGTCGCAAAGGATGTACTTTGTTGTAAACACGAGATTTTATTCTTGTCAAGACTTTTATTTGCTGTGCGTGACAATCGAACTTTTACGGAATTTTGTAAGATTGTGAATAAAACCTGTTTTTGTTTCAAAGTGAAATGAGTGTCTAAATTGGTCTCGAAGTCAAAGTCAGAGCATTTATTTCAATTAATTCTTAATTAGGCGCTTTTGAAATGTTAAAATTTGAATTGTCCGTCCATCTCTCCGTGAGTGCACCTAGGCGCTCGTTCCAAAGTGTAGTTTCGAATGCAGAAGAACGAGCAAGAACAATGAACTGATGCAGTCAATCAGTTTTCTAAACTTGACAATGTCGAAAACCTAGTCACTGGTGAAATGAGAAATTCTCAACAGTCTTACAAGTGAAACTAATTTTATTATTTTTAGTTGTAGACTTACTCTTATCGTGAATATCAGTAGCAACAAATTAAGCTATAATCACGAGGGATACGATTACGTCATGTTGAATATACGACAAGCATTATTTTTGATATTAGTAAAGATAATTATATTAATCATGTGTTACCGAGTAGATAAACTTACGAAACTACGTAAAGACAAGATCTAAATTACTGATTAAAGAATACGCTGGGTCGTACTGACGAAAATTTTACCAGGATTTTTTTTGATGACTTAGGAAAGTTAGGGCTAATAAGAATTCCCGACAAAAATAAAATCTTATTTTAATAAAAACGTAGGAAAATTTGTCCAGTACATTATTTACACACGTCATAATCATACTATTTTCATAATGTATCCTAAATCAAAGTTCGCACAAAGATAAGAGTTCATTGAAATGTTGGGTCAGTATGCTAGGTCATCCTGTTTCAGATAGCTTTGTTGCGATACACAAAATTATATAATAAAACAACTTCTACATAGCAAAATTGTTTTCTAGGACACATTTTTTATCAGGCCAGACCCGTATCTACGATCGTAATCGAGTACTTTCAATCAGGTCAATGGCAATTTAAAATAGATAAAATATGATAGCGTTCGACGGATAAAATACTGATGGGTAAGCCTACAAAACGATGACAGTCAACAATTAAGTTGATAAGCAATTTCTACCACATTTGCATAGAAACAAATAAAATTATCGATCTTTGAGTAATGGGTTTAGTCTCAGATTGATTTGATTGTGCGATTTATGAACCGCAACGAGATATAATTAATATTTCTATGTTAAGTGTTACATAAAACTTGTTAGCGTGGGCCTTTTCTAACTAATCCGGATGGATTTACGTGTCTGCCACTAATGCTGTGTACTTACTTAGTTATCACAACGGCATCGAGGTACTCGTAATGAACTACGTTTAACATCGACACGGTTATTTCATTTTACTGCATACGCTTCAAATGTAAATTACTACACCTACGTAGGTATACGATATCAGTGGAACAGATTTAAGTATATATCTTTCTAGATAATCTTGTGTAAAAACGCAAACACGAGCAATCAAAGGAATGACATGTTTTATAAATATTTGTTGTAGGCTACTGGGTTTTCTAGATTTTATAGATATCAAGCTTTTGGAGGTCAATACATAAGTAGAGCATAGTAGGGACGTAAAAAACTATCATAAATTGAAAACTCATGCAATAAACCGAGATTGTGGAGCGGTTTATTTACTACTTCTTGAATATGCTAATACCGCAATTTATTACAATATTAATGGACTGGTGTCCTCATGAACACTAGATGCATACATTTTTAGTTAAATACATAGGTATAAACAAGCTACACATGAATAATGGATAGATGCACGTGACAACGTGACCCGAATTGAAAGGAAATGAACGAACGATTCGATTGCAATGTCGTCCAAAAAGGAGGAATTTAAAGGTAAAGCCAATTACCGTTTGTCAATTTAGATCCATCCGTCAGATGAACATACATCCTTCATATATAACTTCCTACGTATGAGTAGAGTAGAAATAAGTAATGGCCATCTGCACTACTCTAATAGACCTAGAATACAAATGTTCGTGTTACACGAACGTACTTAGTATCGGCAATTACAACACAAAGAGTAAGCAATAAATTATTATCAATCATAATAAATCTTACCAGCCGCTAGATAGAATCCTGATAGAAGACTGCCGACCCACGCGACAGTGCCTTTACCCTCGCCGAAGTACGTCACTAATTCTGGTAGGAATATGCCGAATGTGTAGGCTATGCCGTCCACAATCATGTTACACATGAAGGATGCGAAGACCACGACCCAGCCGTAGCCCCCGTCGGGGGGAGGGGGCAGGGCTCCATAGTCGTAGGCCTCATCGTCGTCGGCGTCTGCGGCTGCGCCTTCCGCCGTCAGTCTTGCTGCTTCTTCGCATGACGTCTCACTTTCCGTCTGTAACAAAGACATAATAGTTTAAAAACATATATTTTTAATCACCACTGCGGCTCTCGATAATGGCGACGCGCGCACCCTTAACCACAATGCAGTTACGTTGCAGTATTCTGAATAGTGCTATAGGGAAGTCACAAGCACCATGTGAGCGGCCATTGATTTTTCTGGATATATTGACGATAGGTATTGATTTCAAATACACGGAAGATGCAATCCTTATTTATAGAAATGAATATTTCATAGCTATGAGTTATCATGCCCACCCAAAGTGCCAGTTTCAACGATCAAAATTAATTTGCGCAAACATTCCAGTCATTTCATGGACGAGTCATATCATAACGGCAAACAAAATCATCTAAAAATAAACCGCTGAGACGTTATGTTTAGGGTATCATATCAATCATCGGAATAGTTTCAGTCCTTTTCCATTAACATGATAAAATATTATTTTCGACCGGGTTTACAAACATTTATGGCTGACAAGTACAAGAATATGTCATACCATAGCTGTTTCCAAACAATTACACATTAGTTTTACTTTGTCATTAAAATTAACGCGTCGTAAATTCAAATCTATGACGTAATGTACGATTTCATTATTATTGTTCGTATTTAGCTTGCTTTATTATTGTCGTCTGTCGTAAATTTAATAAACGTCAGTAATAAAACGTTTGCTCTTAACGAGCCTCCGGAATTTTACCGTAGCCTGTCGGTAACTTAATTTCCTTAGCCTGGTAAACTTTTATTTTGAGCTGCGTCGCTAACACCTACGTGGAAAACTCCACGATCAATATGCTACCAAGTTTCAATATACGAAAAAGGACTATCAGCGTATGTTAATACGGTTGTTCGTTAATTTCACGGCCATTGTCACTACCATTGCCAAAGGTTTTATTGTAATTAAATGTTGAATATTAAATGCGCGCAACTACATGCATCTATAATAGATAACTTGAAAACAATGAGACCATTTTATACGCGCTGGCAATCAGTTCTTTGTTCGTATTAAAAACAACAAGTTGTGGATGGAAAAGTGTGGAATAAGCTTTGTAAGAAATTGAATACAACATTAAATTAATATAGATAATACAATATGTGCTACTACAGGAAGTTTCAAAGCGCAGTGTATAAATAATGCTACAATTGTAAACATTCTTACGTATTATCTGTTTCCAACCTAGTTCTAACTGCAATAACTGTACAAAGAGGCATGTTTACAATAAACACTAGATAAAACAATCTAGCAGTACATGTGTCGTTTAGTCACTCATGTCATGTCACAGTTGAAAATACTAATGTGGACATCCCTTTGTTGGCAGCATGAGCGGCGTTTCATTATCGTTTTATCATTTCTTTGTTTGCGGCCGAGGCAATAACAGTTGTCATGTTGGAAGCTACAACTATCTGACACTTGGACACGAATAAAGAGGAGTGTTCATATATACACGTTATCAAATATGAATAGCCGTTACAGGATAGCAACACAACAATGTGCCGAAGTAAAACTATTCAGATAGGAATATGTTAGAAATGTTCGTACAAAATTCATCCTTTATTACATCACGCAGAATACTTTAGGGAACAGAGAGTATAGTTCCCTAAGATCGGAAAATGAGGATCCTCCGACCAGGCGAGGTGATCGTGCCTGGCGGGCTTTCTGCCCAACAGTTGTTCGTTGGGATTTTCTATCCGTGTTTATTCGCTTGTAAACTTTGCATGTGCGATGTAGGATTCTTGTGACGTCATCCGTTGACATGTGGCATGCGTCGCCACATCACTCCCTCCCAAGACCGGAGGTCGATCCCGCTGCGTCGGCTGTCGATGCTTGAGATGAGCGGTGCCAGAACCAGTGTAGAAAGTCCCTAGTTCCAGTGAGTCGGAACTGTGCCGCTGAGTGCCCAGTGAGTCGGGTGAGCGGTGCAGGGTGAAACTCCAGTGAGTCGGAGAGATGAGCTCGCAGTGTCCCACGGTGAGTCGGGGAAGAGATGCTGCGAGGGTAGGTGCGTAGTGGCTGGCGTCTGCGTTGACGGGAGGAGATGTCCTTCAGAACCGTGTGCAGAAGTGCTGTGCCTAGACGCTGGTGAGGCCTTAGGGAAGAATCAGGCTGCACGACTTCGTTGCAGGCGATGGTGGTCCCTGATGAGGCCGAGGATGCTGGTTGGCTGCGACTTGATTACCGCTCAGCGGAGAAGTGATGAATGAGAGGGATGGCGATACGGATGACGGTGCTGATATGCTCCGTGAAGTGAAGGTTGTTTCCAATCACGTCGGGGTCACCACTTTAGGGAACAGAGAGTATAGTTCCCTAAGATCGGAAAAGGAGGATCCTCCGACCAGGCGAGGTGATCGTGCCTGGCGGGCTTTCTGCCCAACAGTTGTTCGTTGGGATTTTCTATCCGTGTTTATTCGCTTGTAAACTTTGCATGTGCGATGTAGGATTCTTGTGACGTCATCCGTTGACATGTGGCATGCGTCGCCACAATACCATTTACCTGCCGAAGGTAACGTTACCTACTGAAATACGAGTAGTCGCTACTAGAAGCTTATTAGTTTGGCGCGGTTGTTTACATTGAAGTTCGAACACGTGCTGCCAACCTGCTGTTTCTACACGGCGTATCTCCAATGATAGTTACCAATTTAAAATAATATAAACAATGCGGCAGCGGTGACTCACGACGCCAGAGGAAAATTACTCTAGTCCGAACCGCGAAGTGTTTACTAAGCGCGGATTAGTGTGAACTTTGGTGTTTGTTAACGGCATGTTATAGGTATTAGATATTATCAAGGAAAACAGTTTACAGATAACAAACAATAATGAATTGAAACTGTTAAACAATGCAACGTTTATTGCTGCTGATAAAAGAAGAGCAAAAGGACAATTGGGCGATGAACGAACCAGGTTCAACATAAATGATAAAAATGAATGATTTTTTTTATTAATTTTCAGGATTAACGAGTTAGGTAACGACTTAAACATAAGTAGCAATTAAAACTACTCATAAGATAACCTTTAATCACTTTTAAGAAAACGAACTGCGAATTAGGTCGAGGCGTTAATAATATTATGGATATCGTTATATTAGAAATGAAACCGAAATAAAGTTTTTATAAATATGATGAACGTATTCAGTTTGTCCTTTTTCCGTTTATTTTTTTACTGAAATTAGCAGCTATTCATTCGTAAACGTATCCATGGGTTTCTTATGGTGTCCAGAACAGAACGGGTTTGGTTTTGAACGCATGAATACGGCTGCCATTGTAACAATCTATCACTTTATTTGCTGCAGACGGGTGCTCGACCTTGTCCGTGTTTACTCCACAAACCGCTCCGGCATAGTGATTTATTTTGTTAACATAGATTATGGAATACGTACACACTTCCTAGTTTTCACTTACGTGAATTACAGATTTGTGAAGTCGTGGAAATCTTATAAGAATCAAATTGAATCGTTGAATTAAAACTATGTGGTGTAAAATTATGGAGTACCTATTTCCATGATTTCCATAGGTCGCGAAACGAGTAGGTAATAGGTAAGTATGAAGCATAATTATTTCTATCCATTATGAACAATTAAAACGAGCATGACATGAGGAATAAACACTGACAGTTGAAATTAAAATAACTCCATGCCTCATAGCAATGTGTGAAGGCGGAAAATTCGATCAAATCGAACGAGGAAGCCCAAATGGCCTTAGCACTTTGTACTTCAACATACCGAGACAAAGAATCTGTAAGGTTCGATTAGAATTCATTATGGGAAAGATTCCGCGTTGCTATAGAATTGATACAATTTAACAATAATTCCTGGTGCCCTTCGATACAACACTTTCGTTTTTGTCGCATGTAGACTGAATATTTCAATAAGTATTGTAAGATACCAGTTAGAATACCACTTTTTTTGAATTCATTATGGGAAAGATTCCGCGTTGCTATAGAATTGATACAATTTAATAATAATTCCTGGTGCCCTTCTAAACAACACTTTCGTTTTTATCGCGTGTAGACTGAATATTTGAATAAGTATTGTAAGATACCAGTTAAAATTCCATTTTCGTTGTTGGGGATGACGCTTTAACTTACAGTGACCTATTTTGTTCTTTGGAACGTACTTACAAAAACTTTGTTTAAACAAAAAGGGTCAATACACTGACCTGAAATGTACAACACTAGGGATCTTCCAAAATTTGTGCACAACAAATAGAACAAGAAGTTTAATCATACAGGTGAGCCAACAAGATGAGTTTTAAAAGATTTATCTAAACCCAAGCAAAATATTAACAAAGAGCGTTTATACAAGGATATATGAGAATATTGACTTACAAATATTCATTCAACAGATGGTACACGCAATTTCACTTTAAAATTTACAACCTCGGTCGGCAGTCGGTGCTGTTGACCTAAGATTTACATATAGGTACCAAGTCTTAAATAAAATTTCACTGCAGCAACCTGTTTTACACTCTGAAACGCAACTACATTAAAATAAATATAAGGGAGACGAAAAATACTTAGAACTTTATCTATAAGGAGTCGTTACTACGCCAACTACAGCGAAGCTCTAATTGAATTCACAGAATCGTTTAAAGCATAAAAGGCTACATTTGTACTCGTAACATTTAATAAATAGAACTAACATCGCACTTTTACAGATTGAAACCAGTTAAGGACAACATGAATCAGCTTAAAGATGAACATTACTTTGAATAATGAAATAAAATGTTATTTTCTCAAACTATTCACTATTAAAACATGATGAACAATGACCGTATAACAGTGCCAAAATCTTTTTCTTCTTAATCATTCAAAGTGTATCCAGTTCTGAAGTCGCGGAGAACCTAACGGGTTACCGGGGCTCCGGCTCGAAGCGCAGGAGAAGGAACGGAGTGATATTTAGTCAGTAAGAGTCTGACACTCCCTCCCGCCTCACTTAGGCGGGAGCAGTTATTCGATGATTTCCCCCCTTAAAAAAAATCCAGATCTAAACCTAGCAAACTATTTA